TCTAGGAAGGGGAACGGAAGAATAACAGAGAAGAGGAGGAGATGGAGGGAACCTATGTGATGCCTAAGAGGGAAGAGCCGTGCCTCCCTATGCAACTAATCGGTTCACACAAAATGTTTCTAACCGGGGGAAGAGGGAGGGTTCCACGCTCACCGGGGGATTGACCTATCACTGGGGGCGCTGGTGGTACCCTTACTGGGGGTTGATCAAACCTGAAAGTGACGAGTCCCGCGAGTCCCGCGTACTGTTGGGGCAACTCGTGGGGAAGATGCGGAGGATTTCCTACGGCACAGTCCGGTCACGAAAGCAGCAATGGTCACCATGTTCTGTCATTGAGGATAGCGCAAGATCCGCTCATTGGCCGGACCAAAGCCAGAGACTGTATCGCCGCCAGAAGCAACATAACCGAGGGCCCGACTGCGGATGACTCGGGAGATCCAGAATCCAGAATGGTTCTAGTAGCGACCCATTCGGCCATGGCGGCGGCGGGTTAAGTCTTTGGAGTGGATGCGCCCCTTCCGGGGAGGAGACATGGTAGACCAATGTTTTGCCTCCAAATCTCGGTTATTCCGCTGACCAGATTTGGGGCCAACTTTGCCGAGTGAAACGGATTACAAAGTATTTGGCCATGCAGCCGGCGTCAAGCGATATGCGGACGGTAACTGCTCGGGCAGATCTCATTGTGTGATGATGAAATCACCGTGTGACCAGGAATTGGTTATTATGTCTGCCTGGGGGAGAGTGGATTATCAAACACTAGTAGCTCCTATGCCCTACAAACTTGCGTCTGCTCTATGCAGATGTAAGGGGAAAGGGAAACAAGGTGTGATCGATCAGTTTGTGGGAAAGGATGTTTAGGACGCGTCTAGTAGGGACTACAGTTGTGCTACTGCTAGTCAAGATTAGGTGGGTGCTAATTACCCACACCAAATACGTAGACGGGGTCTGGAGTAGGAGCGAGTTTGAGTGGAGTTTAACGCTTTGGCCCTTGACACCAGTCCGTCTTCCAGAGCCGGGGTGTGACACGTAAGGAACTTACAAGCTTCAGCGCTTTTACAAGGCAAATAACCCCGGCCGCCGTGTACCGATACGGTTGTGTGACGTCCACGTGCCAAGAGCCAAGGCAACAGCGTTGCCACCACATTTTCTGCCCCACAACTCAGGCCGGCTTCTTCTCTCTATTGTTGACACAAAACCACCTGCTTAGTTCCCTCCTTCTCCACGATTTCCCCCCCCTTTTCGCCCCCAGCCTGTCCAGCCTGTATCTTATTTGGCTTATCCCTCGTTATCACCACTTTATCGTGGTGACTGGCTAGCTGGCTGGCCCTTGCTTCGACTATCTTGCTCGCTGGGTAACGTGGATGGGTTGTGTGTCATTATTAGTCGGAATCAACTTGATCTAGATCTATCTATTTTTATGGCTCCTCTAGTCGCCATGCCACAATCAACCACATCATCCCCTACCACCACCACATCGGCGGTCAAGACATTGATTTGCCGCGTTTGTCAAAAGGGCTTCTCTAAGGCAGAACATTTGAGGGTAACTTGCCCCTAGTGCCAATCCTATGGTGTGGAGACATCACTAATGCTGGCTTGTAGAGACATGAACGTTGTCGTAAGCATACCGCCATTGTTGATTTCCTTCCTGCTTGAGCAGACATGATCGCCACTGCATTCCGCCCTAGTAATTGTGGGAGGTGTTCCATGCAAGTCATGATGGCTAACTTGCCGCGCCTAAGATACGGGATCGAAGCCTTTCATCTGCAAAGAATGTCGGCGACCTTTTGCCCGCCAGGACGCTCTGACCCGGCATGAAAAGCTTCACACCCGCGCGGCCAACGCCAAACAGGCCCAAGTACAGCAATCATCCGTACATGTTCCTCCGCAGACGACATCTTTGGATGCTCTGCCCTGGGATGCCAGCCGCGCCCCAGCACCGCCCATAGTCTCTACCTCTGCATCTAATCAGGCATGGGAGACGTCCCAGGCTGAGCAACATCCGGGCCTGCAACATGCAGCTTCCGATCTTGATTTCGCCCTGATTTGGCCTGACTCAGAGAATCTCTTTCAAAGTATCATGTCATCCGATGCTACCGACCAATGGCAGATGCCATTAGGGGCTTTGCCCTTCCCACCAGTTGTACAAGATGTTAATGGGATGAACTTCGGGTCACCGAATTCGTTTGACGACAGAGGGTCGTCAATAGGCACAATTCCCTCAGGTGGAAGCCACCAGGCCGTGCGGGATGTTACCGAGATGGTGACAAGTTCGGTGGGTGTTCCTCAGGCCTCTTGGTCTTACTACCCATTACTGATTCTCAAAATCACTAGTCATCAAGTGTCACAGCTGCAATCAAAGCGACCTCGATAACATCAGTCTTCTTAGATGAATGTCTGCATATGTTCTTCGTGCGGTTCATCCCCACGTTCCCGGTTCTACATCGAGCAACTTTCGTTTTCCGCGAGTGTACACATCCTCTTCTTCTCAATGCTATGGCATTGGGGTCGTTATACCTGGGTCCGAAAGACTCTGTAGCTAAGGGGGAGGCTTTATGGCGCTTAGCACATACTGCTATAGCAACCTCTGTAAGTATCGTAGACGCCTGCACTGATATTATTGTGCTTACATTCATCTAGTGGCAATCGTTGATCACACATCGAGGCCCTTACGATGTCTGCAAAGGAGTACAGCTCCTCATTACCGCTCTGCTTGGACAAATTTACGGTGCCTTGTCTAAGGTGAATCAAAGTTGCAAGATTCACTTCTACCACAAATACTAACGAGTTACCTTTCATAGAACCGGGTTATCCGTACGACGAGTCAGGTCTTCCGCCCACTTGGCTTCCTATGGGCAAGACACTGTGGGATGCTGGATGCCGACCCTTTTCCCATGGAGAATGTGCCTTTCCCAAACTCGCCCAGCACAGAAAAGGAGTACAAATGGCGTACATGGGCAGCTCGAGAGATTCAACAACGCGCGTTACTCGCGTATCATATATTAGATGGCCTCGTCGCGCAGATGTCTGGTGACAGTGCATCTACTCGGCATGTAGCCAACCCTCTGCATCTCCCCAGCAGCGAAGCTGCCTTCGATGCCGGCAATGTCGACGAATGGATCGCTATCATGCGTACGCAGAAGGTGGAACAACCATCCTTCCGGTTGGTGTTCCGCTCCCTCTTTCCTCCCATCGGAAGCTTTCGACCTCTAGACTTCCAATTTTCTGCCTTTGCATTACGTGTTGTCCTAGAAGGCCTACAGTCTCTTGTGTCAGATTCGGATGAAAGCGATCTTGCTGCCGTCGGGGTTCCCGGCCGTTCTGATGTCCGGAGAGCATTGGCTCAAGTACATGAAACTATAACCATGAGTATTCATCTCTCTGCACCGGAGCGTCTTGAGGTTCTTCTGCGTTGGCATACGATATGTCTCGACACCATGATCAACTCTACAGTACTCTGCAGACATGTTTGTTCCCGATATGACATTACGCAACACGTTTCCGGAGGCTCCCGGACCATCAAGCCAGGATTCGACATGGCCAAATGGGTCAATACTGAAGATGCTCGTCGTGCTTTGCTGCACGCTATTGCAATACAAGATATTGTCGAACAACTCCCGAGAGGCAGGGCCCATGTTATCCACATGCCAAGCTCTTTGTTCTCGGCCACAACAATATACGTTGTCTTCTCTCTTGCTGGTGTGGCGAATATTCATCTTCCACGCACGATTGTCTGGCAGGACGCCCTGCTTTCGCGCGCTGATCTGAACCTCGGGTGCGAGAACATTCGCCCCTCGACTGGTTCTGAAACACGACGTTTTGTCGAGGAGGGACGAACAGACTCTCCCCCTGGCATGGGAGCGGTGCGTAATCTGTTGTATGAGATGAACTCGTTGCAGAAGCTGTTCCGCTGCATGTTCTCCCAGTGGGGCATTGCGCATGACATGGAGGAGATTATTGACCAGTGGATTACTCTCTGCCATTAGGTGTCATTAAATTCGCATGTACAGTGTGGTGTTTTCCTGTCTAGCATTTTTGGCGTCAGGTCCTGGTGACCTTTTGGTTATAGGGCTACATAGAGGTTAGGTTTGGTTTTTGACTTAGGTCGTATATAGACAACCGAGGGCTTTACGTAGGAAGGAGCCTGGCCATCGGGCCCAACCTTCCCTTAAAGACAACAGCATTCCCACTACTTAGGACTGTGCATAGCAGGCCTAGTCAATCGGACAATAACCGTGTAAAATCGTGCCACAAACCGTAGTTAGCTGCTCTGCCTGGCAGTCCGCCCCCATCACCCACATCCCCATCGCTTGCCGCTGCCGTCCCCACGTCGACTCCCCACAGCCCGACTTCCTCTCTCAACTGCACCTTCCACACAACTTCTTTCTTGCAGCACAAGTCTCCCCTCTCTCCACAATTCCAGGTTTCATTGATCTCTGGCTCATGATCGACGCTTTCAGATTGTCAATGCTACATTGCGACGCTTTTCTCCATGTTTCCCCATGGGGGATATGCACTCCACGGTGCCACAATTGAGAAGTGGTACGATGCAGCTTAGACTTAGAAGCCAGACGCTAATAGTGAGCGGCCCGGTCCACTTCTCTCAGCACTGCTTCGGTGCAGCAACCAAGTCAAGTAAGTTTGTTTCAGTTTGATGCCAGGATCCTTGCTAGGTTACAGTCTATGCCTTCCCCATCTTTCCTCCAATGTCCTCTCTTTACACTTTAGAGCACTCGAAAACTTGGAGATTCCTCGTATGTTACCCCTTAATCCACTCAATATACCGAAAGTTGGCCCGAGCCTTTCCGAATTTGTTCACCTATGACACTAACACGGACTTCTTCGCAAAATTCAGAGCTGCCACTATTCGTTTCACATACCGATTGGCTTGCACACAAATCCCCAGAATTTTCTGCGACTCTTTGGCTTTTTGGCCAGAGCCCTTGGGGTCTTGGAGCGTTGATCGACGGCACACCATACAAGCAGGTGTATGATATGACATCTCACCTGTGCAATCCCGCCAATGCATGCTTTCCGGACGGGCAAGGCTGCAGACGCGGTCGGTTCTGGTGCAGGGCTATGTTTCCCCTCACCACAACGGAGGATAGCCCGTACACCGTCGACAAAGGAGCCAAACATCCACACATCAAATGGCGCAGACGGGCAGGATACGCCACACCACGTTTCTCGTGCCCAGAACAATGTTGCTCCTAGACCATATTTATGGTAACTTTCGGGACAGCTACAGTCAGACTGACATCCGGTGAACTCTCGATCCCCAGTGAAGCGCCCGTGGTCTTTTGTACGTGCTGTCCATTTGTATAGCTCCCCAGGTGTACACTGCCCAAACAGTGCATCGTGCCAAACTCGAGCATACCAGTGTTCGGGCGGAGGGGTAGCAGATGTTTGATTGACTTGTCCGCGCAACAGGTCAAGGTGCGCATTGGCACCCCACACGTATGATGCCAGGGATAAGTATCCCGCGGCATAGATAATATCGTCGTAAGAATCGGACCTCGAATCCGGGAGCTGGTCTAATGGCTGGCGATCATAACTGCATGCACCGTACAGTGCATCCTCTTGGAGTGCCCGGGCGTGGCCCAGAGTATCAAATGCACATGCCGGATCAATGGCATACTCATGAATTCCGGTTGAGTATCGGGTGAGATAGAGCCTGTCAGCATCTGGAGAGCTGACTGCTGCTTTCATTGCATACCAGAAGCCGTCGGCCAGCCGTTCACGTAGGTATGCCTCAAACGAAGGGAGCTTCGTTTGTCGGACTGGTCGGTCTTTGCGGGCTTTTGTTAGCAAAACACTGTTGAGAGCAGGCCCGGCCCAAGGCGCAAAAGGCTTGGAGCTACAATCATAAGTTCCGCCAACAGCTTCTTGATCGAATTGCGACTGTAACTCATTTATCATGCTCCAGCGCAGTATCGGGGCCGCTAGACCAGTGGCCTGGCCTGGCCCTGTCATAACTGAGCAGGCATAGAAAGTCGCGATACCCTTGACATAAGACCTTAGATCTTCGTACCCAGTTGGGAGCTCCACCCCTGGAGAATCACAGAGTGACGCCAAACCTTTGCGGAATGAGCTGTTCAAGTCTCCTTCAACACCAGCAAGCATATCAAACGCCTTATTAGGCATCATACCATGGCACCACTTGAGAGTGCGCTGCCGGCATGGCCCCGGGCATTCTATGGCGAAGTCCTGGTTGATGGCGTTTTGACTGGTTGACAGCAAGTACTGCCTTGAAACACACCCACAAGCCGCAACTAACGAAAGCGCTATTAGCTCCCGATCTTCGCTGGAACTCAGAAGCTAGGCTCGGAATATGAATATGACACCAGTCTCGATACAAGCTGCGCAGCCGCCCTCTGTACCATGATGGAGTAAGGCATGCCCCAAAACCGCCGCCTGGTTCAACTCAGGGACATCTTCCCTGCCCCAGAGCTCACCCCCACAGGAGCATACAACATATGCAGGCAGACCAGTCCCTTTACTGCGGTAGCGATGTTCCCTCTTGCAAGTATCACTCGGAAGGGACGCCGGATAGGCGTCTTGTAGAGCAGCACACTCGTCTCGAGAGAGCAGTGAGAGAAGTCGTTTTCGGTATGTCTTCTCTTTGAACACTTTTGTGTAGGCATTTCGACACTCGGCGGGATTAATCGTTGAATTCAGAGTGGACAATCATAGGAGGTTAGACGTTATTCTCAAATTTGCCTGATAGTATAGAACAAATATTGCGGGTACTGGAGAGTGCCAACTCTCAGCCAAGCCATCCAGACTGAATTATATACCCAATGTCCAAATCCTGGACTGATACCACAGTCCTACAATTATTCCAACTTGTCAGATCGAGGCACGATGGCGTGTCATCTCCGTGTTCCATCTGACAACATGTTTCGATATCCCTTACTTGTGAAGGATCTCGCATAACACGCCAAGTACCCTCTCATGGTCAAGTACATTGACGAAAAGGGTGCAATAATAACGACAAGAGAAGAAGAAAGAAAAACCAAAGATAAAGATACGTTGATGTTTATAAATATTAATGAACACGAATAACCCCTAAAAAAAAGCCAAACTGAACTAAGTCAAACAACTTAACAGACACTCCATCCCAGCACATGCCCTGAATTTACACGCCTGCATACTAATCATCTATATGGGCCTACTTTATCCACAAAAACCACCTACTGATGCACTCCTCTAGTCTGATCCACTTCAGTAGAGGTAATGTGATACCTACGTGTAAGGCCCTGCCATCACGCCACCTCTTAAATGCATATATTGATTAATAACTGTGTTGACGATGCTCTGATACTATATAGATCTACTTGCATAAAGAGATGTCAATCGATCGACGAGAAAAATAACATAGCAGTGCATACAGTAAGGGAGGATGGGGCGGCCAAATCACCGAAACTGCTATGAGGTTTGGACCTATTGAGGGAAGCTATAAAGGAAGAGGTGAAGGAAGGAATATGATTGCAGCTACTACACGCAGCAGCAGTAGTAGTCCTGCATGGGGTCGTGGCGGAAGTGGCAGTCGGGGTATTCGGGGGGAAGACATTTTCGGAGTTGGTGCTAACCACACCTTGCAGACTGATATACAGAACGAGTCAAGCTGGAATGAAGGGCACGTCATTAAGTACTAGATGTCGAAAGTCGTTTTTAGGTGTTGTAGTGAAACACATATTAATGGTTCCAAATTCTAATATGAAATCAAGTTTTGTCCATTCTATTCATCCTATGCATGCCATATGTGCTAATAATAACAAAGATGCAGATATGCTCACTCCAGTGATGTAAACCAAACAATAAACCGACGTAAAGACATGACATCCGGGCTCCAAATGCAAAGGGTATCTCTAGGGCAATCAGCTGCTCATGAGAACAAAGAAGATATGAGTAATAACGATGCAAATGAGGCAAAATAAACATTCCAGGTCACACAAACAACGAGCAAACTCAGAACATGACACAAAACCACCCATTAGGATCATGCGTAAAATCAATATGCAACGAAAGACTCGCTAAATGCTAAATATATGTTTGGATCAGTTCGGTAACTGATCTTGAACTGCAGGTTCGTCCATTCGGACTAACGCCTTTGCAACCGCCACTCCGACGTCTTTGAAAAGATCGCGCATTATGGCCTCGCAACTCCCAGGGGCGTCCTGCTGTTTGGCACCCTGGGCCCGGAATCGAGCAGATAGCCGGTCAATCAGTTTGCCGAAGGTGCTTTCAAAGTAAGACTCGACAAGCTTCCTTTTCAGGTGGGCGTTGTCGGCGTGTTCCTCGGCATAAGGACTGCCGGAAGGATGGCTCCCAGGGTCTACACGGATACGCTGGGCAGGACGCTCAGCGAAGGAATCATCTAGCTCGCGAGGCCTTTTGGTCCCTTGTAACAAGGGGTCGTGCAGTGCAAGAGAGGGCTGATGAGGTTGGGGCAAATAGGCCAGAGCCGGGTCCGTCAGGCCATCACCACCAAACTCAGGCTGCTCTTCGCCATTTTTGGTTTTCTGAAAAACCAATCGACGCTCCCGCCGGACTTTGGAGCGAGACATCCAGTCCGCCAGAGGATCGACATACCCCGTCCATGTTCTCATGGCTTCCATGTCCTCCAACGGCGGGAGACTCTTCAACCAGACCAGAACCCGCTCGATTTTCGTCGAGATCTGTACCAACCCCTGCTCGGGCACCATCCGGACGGGCTCCGGGACCTGAGGGGGTTGAGGTTCTACTCTGGTGGGTAGTGCAACAGACGCCCCCAGCGGAGCTTTGGCTGTCACATCCCGAGGTGTGTTGTATTTAACCAACCATGAAGTCAGTAGGTCCCAGACTTCAGTATCAATGTCTACACCCGGATACGGATCACCGTTCGCATACGCCTCCCAGTGGGCCTTTCGTTTCGAGATGTAGGTCTGAATACGGCGGCGGCATGACTGCCAGGAATAGCGACGGCCGGTTTGCAATTCAAGTTTGTTGGAGATCTTGATCCAAAAAGATTTCGGATGGTTGTGAGCATCGTCATCATTCATGGACGCCGCGCACAGATTGACCAGGCACACCTGCTCGGGGACGCTGAGTTGTCTCCCGCGGCCGGCGAAAGGAAGGGACTCTATCGGTGTGGATTTATCCAACGAGGCCGAGGGCTTGATAATGCCAACGGCGGCTGCTTTGGAGGCAGTGGTGGAGGGGTTGTTCGGAGACTGTGGTGTGCTACCCCATTGATCATGATCGGGCCGCATGGGGTTGGGAGTGAAAAGGGTGGTGGTAGCAGGGTGGTTCATGGCTCACTGGGCGGCGGGGTTGGGGGTGCCGAGTGCCGGGTGCCGGATCCTCGTAGAGACGAACGAAGAAGGCAGCAGCGCCCAGAGAGACCTGTCGTGGAAGGAAGAGGAGAGGGAGAGGGAGAGGGAGAGGGGGAGGGGAAGATATAGAAGGGAGAGAGGGAGTGAGGATGAAGATGAAGATGAAGATGCGGGCGAAAAAAGAGGCAAAAACCGAAATAGGGAACCGGAAGGAGGAAGAGCGAAAGGCAAAATGATTAAGGCGACGCCCGCACCGCGTCCGCGTCAGCCCACGTGATCGGCAGTTGGGTACAAACGATTCCCTGATCCATCGCATGATGCCGGTCGGGTTTTGCCCCCTTGAGCCCACATTCTCATCTTATATCAGTCGAGAGGAAGTAGTCTGGGTTTAAATGCTTCTATACAGGCAACTGCACAAGATGACTTCTTAATCCCGAGTCAAAAAAGATGGGGAGAAAAGAAGAAAAAAAGGAGAAGCAACCAAAATGGTTTAAGCCGACGGAGTACTTTGGTCGGTCCGCGTATCATATTATCGCATCGGGAGATCGCCTCGTGATCTGCTTCTCGAGTCCATTTTGGGAGGAAAAGAAAAAGTAAAATAATAAAAATGAAAAATAATATGATAAGGCGAGTTTCAAATGGCATCTCCATTCCCCCAACTCACGCTCTCCCCTTCTACCTCTTTCCCCTCTTTCGCCTTCACACTTCTACACTTCAACCTCGGCTTGTCTCAATCTCTAACCAACCACTTAGTGTCTCTCCGCACTGATCTCCATCGGAAGGGTTATCCGCCCGTTCCCGCTCGACGGATCCGTTCAGCCGACGCGCTCCTCATGCATTCATTCCACTCATCGTGTTGAGCTATGAGCTATATGAGCTATGCTGGGCTGCCCTGGATTGCTTCGGCTCCGGCGGGCTGATCCTTCTTTCGCTACCCCCCTGCTATGGATAGGCTAGTGTTTAGCTCCCGGGAAATTAATTATTGAGGTTCGAACTTCAGCCGATGATCTTCGTTAGTGCGTTGCGCGAACCCATGGCTGCCTCTCCGCCATGGGCCGTGATTTGTCAAATCCGCGTGCGGTTAAGGTGGTACATCTGGGACATGTGAACTTACCGTGAGTGCTTCGTCCATGTCATTCGCCCTGTGGGGTAATCCAGACTCTTCTGATCCCTTACGTGGAGCAACGTTCAGGTCAAAAAGGACCTCCCACCCCTCGTGCCTGTCCTCGCAAGCCAAGCATTGAAATTCTCCTCAAATCCCCTATCCCCCTTATCACTCTCCGACCAAAGAATCTCTCTCTATATACTACTCCTTAGCGACTATACGTGCAGGCGAGCAAGGATGTCATCACGAGTTCGACCCAACCTGCTGGATGTGGTTTCCTCTTTGTCCTCCGTCCCGGGGACGCGGAACCAATATGCCGTGAAGATTACACGGGACTGGTGTACCCAACAGTACGTCCGTTTGACAGCCGCATCCTTGCTCCATCACTCGACGGGCTGAGTTGACCAGAGCAGCTCTGTCCTTGGGGGATTTTCTACTGCGATTATGCTGGCCGCCGGTCAAAGGTTCCTCGACCAGGAACTTGGCGTAGGCCGGTATCCCGAGCCCGTTCATGCGTTCGTCCAATTTCTACACATGGTTCACCCTGGCCCGTCGATTATTACTTGCACTCTTTTACGAGTGTCCAAGAAACAATTCGTTCTACAAGTTGAACTGGCGCATGCCCCTAAGCCGGGAGAGGACTCCGACTCTTACCCAACTACAACTCTCGGTATCTTCACATACGGCGATATTAGCAAAGAAAAGGGCCTCACGCAAGAAACGCGGCCGGTAATCACTCGACCACCCCCTGATCGGCTCACGGAATGTGTTACTATCGATGACCCCGTCGTCAGTTCCACCCCTGTGACCGCGAAGATGAACTGGGTCGCCCCACGATCTCCACAGGGACTCTGGGGCCACCGCCTCGGCGGCCACAACCGCGAGGTCTGGCTGTCCTTCCGCGACGGCTCCAAACTATCTGACGTGTTACATCTGGCGTATCTTTCCGACTTGGTAAGCTGCGGTTCATACCAACATTCTTCTAGTTGTTGCTAATACGCCGCGTCCGGTAAGCCCCTGCAGCCACCAGCAACCCATATTCCGGACTTCTACGCTAAATATGCGATCTCCACCCTGTGTCTGTCGATCGAGTTCAAAAGACGGCCCGACCCGTCCACTGACTGGATCATGGTCCGCTCCAATTCCAACAAGGTCTCCAATGGCCGGTATGATGCTGCTTTGCAACTATTAGATGAGAGGGGGGATCTTCTCGCCTTGAGCAACCACGTTGTATTTACCTCGGACTTGAAGCCGAGGCCGGCTCGGCTGTGAGTGGGGCTGTGGATCTTTTAGTAGTATTTGAGCTTAGCGTTAGTCATATGTCACTGCAGTATGCGATGATATAAACAAAAGCGAGGTATTTAATTAAGAACATTAATCTGTAGTTACAAGTATGCATTAGCAGCACAATGGATTAGTTCCCGCCTTGATTCTTCGTGGGCAGGGCAGGTCACTCTGGATGGAAGCAATCATGCCATCAGCGAATGTACTCGAGAGGTAGGCACCTTTATTAGGTATGATTCAGTCATACTAGTTGTGAAGCTTCACATCACGACGAAATATAACCGATCATCTGAATTTCTGGGAAAAGCCCAGTTCTGTTCCGGCACGAGGACATGATCATGATGCTTAGTGCTTAGTAGTGGACCACATTCTCCAACCACCACTGCAATTATATATTAGTAGTAGTAGTAGTAGTAGTAGTAGTAGTAGTAGTAGTAGTCTCAATAGTTAGGGCAGATTTATGATACTACAAAATCAGTGCTTTATCTTCCAATCTTCGAGTTGAAAGATATAACAAAAAAGTATATTATTTGAATCTCCGTTAAGTGAAGAGGCGACTGTGCGTAATTAACATCAATATCATTCGCGTGCATTAAAAGAACTGAATTTAGGCCAGGTGTGATGGTAACTACAGGAAGAGTAAGATGTAGGATATGATCTAGAGAGTAGAAGAGTACAGGGAACGCCTTGCCCTTAAAAAAAAAAAAAAAAAAAAAAAAAAAAAAAAAAAAAAAACCCAGAATCGAAACCAAGGAAAGCTATATGGATTATGCAATGGAGAATCAGATCGACTTCTTCCAGAAACGAGAGATAAAGCAGCATTGTTTTGATCTCGATTCTCATGCAACTTCACTCCATGGATCGTCCATCTCATAGGCTGAGCTACTACTATGGGCGAACCCGCCTATACTGGATATGCCGAGAGGAGTATCATTGTTACTCTTTCTGTTGCTGAAGACGCTTGATGTTGATGGAGTAGTATTCGTACCGTTCACGGGCGTATCCTCGGATCCCGGCAAGCGACTTTGCTCACGTTCGCGTTTGACAGTTGAGCTAATTCCATTGCCCACGCTGAAGCTAGGATAAGAAGGGAAGCTTGATGTGGAGACATAGAAGTCTTCAGTTTTCCCCGTTGTAAGTGCCGGAGGCGAAGGAGGCATTTCAATGATCTCGACATCGCTTTCGTCGGAAGCAGGACCTGCCATTGTTGAGATTTGCGCAGACCTGGACTCCGCTTTGAGTGGAGGCTTCATATCGGTCTTTTCATCATCGAGCATGTCATCTTCTAGAGAGATTGCATCCATAATAGACTGTCCGGCTTTGCTTGAACTAGCTCCGCTTCGGGTTGGTGTTATCAAAATGGCGGGTGTTCTGGGAGCGGGTCTCCTTCGAGATGAGGAAGAGGAGATAGGCTTCTGGACCCCGTTGCGGCCCATACGTGGTGTTCGTGGAGCAGGAGAGGCAATACTCCCGGTAGTGGATTTTCGGGCCTTCGCAACGGGAAGATCAGTGATCCCCCGTTCTATGGCTTCCTGTCGGAGTTGATCGGCGAATGAATGAACTTTCCGGAAGCGGTTTTGAATTGCGTCGTACGTTGCTCCCTGTCCGAAGTAGGTAGCTATGGCATTGTAGTCGAGCTTGCTGGAACGTTAGTGGGATGCAGCCATGGGGAATGAAACTGCCGTACCTTTAGACTCGGATGGGCTACGACGAGCGCCGCACAGAGACGGTCGGCTGACTCGGGTTGTTTCCAATTGACCATTGTGTTGTGCTTTCAGTATTTTGCAACGGATGCCAATTGCAAATAATCAGAGATGAGGAAGTGCGAGATGATTAGGTTAGATCCTGTTGTGCGAAGTAAAAGAAATCTTAGTAAATTGATGCCAGAGACGGTGTGGAGGTAACACACATATCGAGTCTCCAGATGTTCAGTGAATGTCAAGGCATGGTTACTAGCCAGTCTTGGGACCACAGCTATGACCGCCAGTCAAACAGACGGCCGGGCGACAGGTCAGAAAGTTGGCCTGGGAACTACCCAGACACTGAGATTTAGTGACATGACTTTTATTGAGCTGACAGGCTAAACCCCGCAGACTCAAGAGAAGGGGAAGTACCTCTCTCTCATTTTCTGTGGAAGACTGTGTACTGCTCCACTGAATCTGTGGGAAAGGAGGAGAGTGTACTGGGTCCAGCCGAGAAGGTACCTGTCCACTGCCCACAGAGTTGATGTGTAGATTCCACCAGCGGGGAAGAAAGGCCGACTGGCTGCACAGAATCCCCACAACAGCACCGGATCCGATCAGTCATTTGGAACAGTAGATAGAAGAGATTCTACTCTGAAACAAGTCTGCATCCGATCCACGGCCGAGTTCGGGGAAGTATTGTTGCAGCATCCGCTGCAGCCAGAGGAAAAAAAGCCAAGTGGATAAGATAAGCACATGCAGAAACATCCACCCTGATGACAGGGATCGTCTGTCGAGACTAAGATGAGATCTGCATCACCGAATCCAGCATATCTACAATATACCTAGTGAAATAAAGTGCGCAGAATACACTGGATAGAAACTGACCACAGCCGGTGCTGAAGAAACCAGAGACATCTCTATAGTAGATAGCAAGTAATACATGAATAATAAGATAACCAGTCAATGTCGCTTGGAAATCGCTAGTCACTGTGTGAACCACAGCTATTCACTATAGAATAGTGAACACAGGAGAAAATGTATTTTCACATACCCTGAGCTGCTTTCCACTCCTTCCATTTCTTGTAGTCTGTTTTTGTCTCTTGTAAAGTTCTTCTTTTCCTCTTAACTTTTCTCTTCCTTACATACTCGCTCTGCTTTTGTGATTAAGTCTCTACTACAAACTCTTCTCTATTCTACTTCTTCAAAAAATATCGCAGCTTCTCTATACATACATAGAAAACCTTATCTGCACGAGGAAGAACCAACCATGAAGTGGACTCCTGAGAAAGATCAGCTTGTAAGTCTACTCCTCTTTCCCCTCTTCCTATCCAACGCACAACCTACACCATCTATACTATTTCCACTACCTACTCTACCTACTTTACTTACTCTACCCATTCTACCCATTCTACCCACCAACAAACAAACAACTCATCCACGAATCCAGCTGCTCCTCAAAATCCTCGAAACCCACTCCCTCTCCGTCGACGCCAAACGCGTGGCCGAAGCATGGCGTAAGTCTATTCCCCCCAGCTCCTTTTCCACTACTTACCCCAATCCAACCAACCAAACCCAAACTAACCACCACAAACCAGCTAAATCCCTCGGTACAGACATGCCCACCCCCCGCGCCATCTCCGAGCGGCTCGTTCGCATGCGAAACACCGCTCGCGAGTCCAGCGGCATGGAGGGGCACTTTTCCATCGGAAAGGGGCTAAAGACCGGGAGTCCAATGACCAAGTCTACTGCTACTGCCGCTTCCAGCCCTGCTTCTGTCTCTACTCCTCACAAGTTGCGCGTCAGTAATGCCAGAATGGGGTCGGCTTTGAAGAGGAAGCGCGATGATGATGATGACGATGAGGGTGGAGATGTGGGGGAGTATACGCCTACCCCAGCTAAGATGAAGGTGGAAGGAGGTAGTGATACTGAAATTGAGAATGGGATGGAGACCCCTACCAAGACCGTAAAGGGGAAGGGAATGAGCGCGAGGTCCTCTGCTCAGTTGAAGATGGAGGTGGTTGACTTGGAGAGCGAGGCGGAGGTTGCTCCTGTGAAGCGTGTTCGGAAGGCCAGTGCGCTTGCGCCTGGAATGGTGGAGTGGAAGGACGAGGATGATGAAGGAGAGGGGGAGAGCTCGGCCAGCGAGTATGTGCCTGAGGTGGAGGTTAAGGGGGAGGGAGTTTATAGTGCTGAGGAGTTTGATGATGGCGATTTGTATGATGCTTAGGTTTGCAAAGTCGGTTTATGGAGGTTGTTGAGAACTTAAGATCTGGTGGATGAACTGGACGGTGGATTATGAAGTTATGATGATTCTGCTTTTCATACCATGTACTTAATTACTCCAACACAAGTGAAATCTGCAAATGAAAACGCCTAGCTCAATTTCAATAGCTCAGATACCACTTATCCTAAGGTACAAACATCACCCAACCCAACGCCCTCTCCATCCCAAGTCATCATCCAGCAAACGAAAAGAACACAAATAACCACCATCCATCAAACGAGCCAATTACATAACCATCAACTTCCCCAAATCACCCAATCCATTCCCTCAACCACAAGCCATCTTGAAAACAAGAAAGCCACAAAGAAGCGAGAAGACCAACACCACCATCAAGCATCATCCTCCTCCTCACCCTTAACAACCGGACTCTCCTGCACCTCCTCACCACCAGCTCCATCTCCCTCACCAACACCACCCTCCTCAGCCCCAGGAGTCTCGGGAACACCAAGCTCACAAAGCACGTCCTCATCATCATCACTAACCTCCTCATTCTTAACAACCGCAGCAGTAGCAGTAGCAGTACCATCAGCCTTCTTAGCCCGCTTAGCCTTCGGCTTCTTAGCAGACGAGACAGTAGTAGAAGTACTAGCTTCACCACCCCCAGCAACGGGGTTCTTGCGGGGCCGGCCACGCTTTCTCTTCTCAGGAGTAGCGGGGGTGGGAGTAGTGGGTGTCTCGTTGCCCGGAGAAGTCATGGTAGTACTAGTAGTACCAGTCCCAGGGGACGAAGCGGTACCGCCGGGAGTAGAGGTAGAAACTTTGTCCTTGAGACGCTGGATGCGGTGTTGGACGGCGGAGACGGTGCAGCCTACGGTATGTGTGTTAGTATGGATGGATGGGTGGTTTTGGGGAAGAGGGGGGAAGACATACCGGGACCCATGAAGTTGGCCAAGGCGTGCATATCAATTTTCACGTTCGTGGTGGTTAAGATGCCGACTAGGAGCTGGGTGAGGAAGGGATGTGTTAGTTTGTGCTCGGTTGGGTTGGATTTGGGGGAAGAAGGGCGGGGGGGATGTACTCTAGCATCGTTGGTTTCATTCCAAGTCATGGGCATTTTGGCGGTTTGGGTTTGGTAAACTGGGATGTTCTTGTGGTGTGTGGGGAAGGTAGATAGAGAGAGGAGGATTGTGGTTGAGGTAGAGTGAAAACGGATGGGAAGAGATAAAGTAAGACGGAGAGAGAGGTTACAGTTGAAGAGGCGAGAAGGAGGAAAGTAAGAAAAGATGAGCAAGGGGATGGAGAGAGCTGAGGAAGTGTTCTACTTCGGAAGGGTTGTGGGTTGAGGTGGGGGTAAGGGAATTTGATTTTGATGGTTACATTCACTTGGAATATCACCAGTGTTAGGACTCAGTTTTTACTCTTGGGTTTGGAGATGGATTTAATTTGAGGTTTGTGGGAGGTTTGGGTTGCAATGCGATTTATTTAGTTGTAAGTGGCTTGGATATCATTATATGGACACTGGTTGAGCCATGGCGCGGTGGTATCATCAAACATGACAAGAAATGAAATGAGAAAGGCACAAAAGATAATAAAATCTCAGCGTGCCTTCTCGAAAATGAATTTGTTGTATTCCGCCGGATGATAGGATGAGAAATAGTCGTTATATCGCAGCTCCTCTCGGCTCTTCTGAGCTGTTTTCAAGTCGTCAAACTGTCGGAAAAGTCGGCCAAGCGTCACATACAGCTCGCAGTATGCAAGCCTACAGATGTCAGCACAGTTCAATCTCACATGTGAGGTAACCTACGGCATCCCGATACATTGTCTAGACCCCTTGCCGAAAGAGAACAAGTACTTCTCAAGAGACTTGCCAATTACCGGGTCAGTCCATCGGCTTGGGTCAAACGTTTCCGATTGTGGAAAAAGATCTTCGTTATGATGCATGGTCCACGAGCTCATGCTAACAACAGTCTAAACATATGTTAGCGGATCGACAATAATAGTGTCATGGTTGATGCACACCCCAGGAGGAACATGATAGCCATTGAACTCAGCGCCGACGTCAGGGACGACTCGTGGTAGTCTACCGGGGACTCCACAGGATAGCCTAGTTGAAGTGAGCCAATGTCTTTCCCGGTTCATCAGGTATCATATCACCTTAGAGCCTCCTTGATAACAGCGGTCTTCCAACGTTAGCTATGGTTATATCAATGGGAGTATCTGACGCATACCAAGTAGGGCAATCTTTCCAAAGTCACAAAGTCTATTTGCCCTTCCGGATCAGGAAACGCCTGCTTCAGCTCCTCCGTTAAGCGTTTATAGATTTCTGCATCCCGCACGACGTTGTAGGCAGCAATGGTCAGCGCATTCCCCGTTGTGTCTGCAGCCGCAGCCAGCATGATATAGGCCTCGTCTTCCAGCTCCTCCACTGTAGGCACCACATGAGCTTCAGTAGCCTCTGGGTGAAGAAGCTGGTGAAATATAGTTGACCGGCTTCCTTTCTCTCCCCGATCAACAGCGTCCTTTACCTTCAATATTTGGCGACGAGAACCCTGGGAGACGTCAGCCCTGATAGGTAAATCGAAAACATACGACCAACCTCACGATGCAACATCATCCTCGTCAATGGCTCACTAGTCAACTTGGCCAACCAGAACGGCGTGCTAAGTGAAAGCCCCTGTATAGCCGGGAATTGCTGAAAAAACCAAAATGCCGGACCAAAGCCTCGGATCATGTCAAAGAACTCGGCTCCAAAGTTCTTCTTGTTGAGAAAGCCGTAACAATTGCCAAAGGCGTAGTCACTGATGACATCCACAGAGATAGCTCGAAAGGCATGATGCAGGTCAATACAGCCGGTCGAGCTGAAAGACTCCCTCATGCGCCTGACCAGCTTGTCTGCCTTCTCCTGCACAATATCCTCCAGCTCAAGCACCTTTTTGCGCGAAAAGAAGGGGTTCAAGGCCGATCGCTTGACTCGATGTACGTCGGGGCTTGGTGCCGTAAAGGTCGCCTTGTGGGTGCCGAATGCGCCATAGAACTGAGG